GCGACGTATCGCACCATAGGATGAGTAAGAGATGAGTAAGGCATAGACCTGTCTAGACCGTTCTGGAGTAGTACGGATTGTCCTAGACAGTACCAGAAGAGTCCGGAAGCATAGCTATAGTACACGAGCAGAGAGTCCCAAATATGGTAACATACTACATAAGCGACTACAGCTAAGCGCTAGAAGACGCATAGCCTCGTGTAGTCCGGACCGGATAAGTCCAAGTTCAACAGGATCGTGTCCTCACGATCGAGGCCTTGAAGGAAACTTGGCGTAGAATTTCTTGACCAGCTGAGGGGCGTGTACCAGGTTTTCCGCCGGTTCCCAGCTGTTGTGCTTGTTACCCAGCCTTTCCAGTGAACGAGGTACTTGAGTTTCTTCCATCGGCCGAAACGTCTCGAGTCGATGACTTCGTCAACCTCGTATTCTTCCTCCCCCTCCACTTAGAGAGGGGCTGGCTCGGGTGGATGACGGCCTGGGAGATCACTATGCTGGTGGGGTGTGAGGAGTGAGACATGGAAGACGGGGTGGATTTGCATGTCCTTGGGGAGCACCAGCTCGTAGGCCAGTGGTGCGACCTGTTTCTTGACCACATATGGTCCAGCCAACTGATCTACGAGTTTTTGCGGCATCCCCGTGATGCGCAGATTGCGGGTGTCGAGCCAGACCTTCTGTCCAGCTACGATGGTCGGTAGCTCTCGAACGTGTTTGTCAAAATGCTCCTTCATCCGTTCGGCCGCCAGACCCAGTGCCGCAGTTGCGTCCTCCCGTGCCTTTCGTAGTTCCTCTCGCCGTTCATCTGCCGCTGGTACTTCCGTGTCGAGAACCGGAATGTCAAACTCCGGGTCGTATCCGTACATCAGGAAGAAGGGCGAGTACCCAGTGGCTGAGTGAACCCGTGAGTTAAAGGCAAACTCCGCAATTGGTAGCCAGTGGACCCAATTGTCTCGTCGCAGAGAACAGAACATGCGGAGGTAGGCTTCCAGCTCCTGGTTCCAGCGTTCGGACTGACCGTCGGTCTGAGGGTGGTATGCCGTCGATAATGCGCTCTCGATGCCGAGACCCTTAAGGACTGCGCGGAACAACTTGCTTGAGAACTGCGGTCCTCGGTCTGAGATGATCTTTCGCGGAACGCCGTGCAGGCGTACGTGATCACGGATGAGGTTCCAAGCAGCTCCTTCAGCGTCGACCTCCTCGTCTGTTGCAGCGAAGTGTACCATCTTGCTGTGCCGGTCCGCCATGACCTGAATGGCGTCGTACTCGACTCCGGCTACTGTGACCTTGGGAAGTCCAACGATGAAGTCCGTCGTCATGATGCGCATCGGACCCTCCGGGATTTCATTCGGCTGCAGCGGTCCATAGGGTTTCGTGCGCAACGTCTTCCCTCGATGGCAAGTGTCGCAAGTCCGTACATAGTCCTTCACGAATTGAGCCATGCCGTACCAGTGATAGTTGCGCGACAGCAGCTCGACCGTCTTCCAAACTCCGGGGTGTCCTGCCAGAGGAGAGTCGTGGTGAAGCCGTACCAGCTCGGTCCGCAGCTCCTGATCATTCGGAATGTAGATCTTGCCTCGGTACTGGAGGAGATCCTGTTCGATGTTCCAATCGACCAGGTCGTTTCGCAGTGCTGCAGGGCCGAGCTTCTTCACATGCTTCAGGGCTTCCACGACCGCAGGTTCGAAGTTCTGACACTCCCTGATGCGCTTCAGGAGAGCCTTGTCCGGTACGACCGCAAGGTGTCCCCGTCGACTCGCTAGGATACGGAACTGTTCGGGACGGAGCACCGTTCGAGCCAGGTTGTCTTCACCATCACCGTGCTGATAGTCCGGTCGTCTCGATAGCGCGTCCGTTAGAGACACCAGGCTTGTGGGTGATGACGAAGTCGAACCGCAATAGATACAGGGCCCATCGCGCCTGTCTGCGAGTGAGGTTCTGCGCCGTCCTCCAGTACTCGAGGTTCTTGTGGTCCGACTCAATCTCAAACTGGGAGGGGAGACCTTCGAGGTAGTGACGCCACGCTTGCAGGGCACGGATGATCGCGAGCATCTCCTTGTCGTAGATCTTGTAGTTCCGTTCAGCAATGTTCATGGACTCGGAGTGGTACGCGATCGGGTGAAACTTTCCATCGTCGCCCTCTTGGGACAGGACCGCACCAGTGGCGTACCTGGAGGCGTCGACCTCAACTCGCGTTTTCCGTTCCGGGTCATAGATGCAGAGGACCGGACTTTCACAGAACCGTCGTTTGATCTCGTCGAACGCACGTTGCTCTTCCTCGCCCCACTGCCAGGGGTTATTGCCCGTAAGTCGGTCCAGTGGTCTGCAGATGGCACTGAAGTCGTGGATGAATCGTCGGTAGAAGTTGGCAAAGCCACGGAACTTCCGTACGTCCGAAGTGTTCTGAGGAGTTGGCCAGTCTGCAATTCCCTTGACTTTGACCAGGTCCATGCCCACGCGCCCTTCGGAGAAGATCATGCCAAGATACTCGATCTGTGACTGTTCGAACCGACATTTCTCCGGCTTTAGAAAGAGGTCATTCGCTTCTAATCGTCTGAGGACCTCGTGCACGACCTTGCGATGTTCCGTAAGGTCGCTACTGAAGATGAGTATGTCGTCCAGGTACACGGTGATCTTTCCTTCGACGATAAGGTCCTTGAAGATGTCGTTCATGAACGCGGAGAACGTGCTGGGGGAGCCGGTGAGCCCGAAGAACATAACCGTAGACTCAAACAGTCCTCGATTGGTCGTAAACGCGGCCTTCCATTCGTCACCGGTCTTAATCTGGATGTTGTTGTAGCCCCAGCGAACGTCGAGCGCCGTATAGATCTTGGCGTTCTTGAGTCGGTCCATGAGTTCGGCGATGAGCG